TTTTTTTTTTTTTTGGGGGGGGGGGGTCTTTGATTAAGACGATTCTCTAATTTTCTTTCCTCCCTGTTTGGTGAATTGTTGCAATGAGCCATCCTGTATTTGACTATTCCAATTTTATCCCCGGAAAGGGGGGAGCAACAGGCATGTTGCATCTGGTCATGATGTATAAGGTATGAATTGAAAATTGTGCAGGTAAAAAGCTGGAAGAGGGGGGATTACCATAGAATCCTAGATGATTTTGTGTATTATGATGTGTGTCAAGTTCTGACGCTGGGAGATGGGGATGCAAGGGGATAAGAAGCAAGTGAAATGGAGCTTCAGAAAGGATTTTGTGATAAGAGAGTCGAATGCGTGATGGTGTCAACATGAGAGGTGAGGATGAGCAACACGTGATCCTATCCTTCATTTTTTTTAGCTCAGATTTGAGGCGGCTGTTAATAGATTCGCTAATTCCATTCGTGTGGCATCATGATCATCTCTCTCTATCTCTGGATTGCTTCTGGACAGCCAATAAGATACTGACCGAAGCTGCGTTTGTTGTGGATACAAATGTTGAAACTCGCCCATCAATACTCAGCTTCGCCTTCATGTACGCTAAGCCATTACATGTATCATGGTGTGGGAATTCCTCGTAACGACGACGTTTTCAGGATTAAAAGGCATAATGAGCGCGTTGGTTTACGCGCCTTCAGTTGCTCATTTCCCTTCCCTCCCTCTGATGCTGGTCGACGACGCTGGTGCTTCTGCAGATACGACGCTCCGCCTCCTCCAATGGCATCTTCTTCTCTTGTCCGAATTGCTGTTGTCGGTGATGTCGTAATCCTCTCTCTCTCTCTCTCTCTGTGTATGTATCTCTCTCTCGTGTCAACTGGGTCAATTGTCCTGATGTGCCCTCTCCTTGTTTCTTTGGATCTGAACATTGAAGCATGGCCTCTGGAATCTGGAAGAAGATCGAATGGCGCTTCAGCTGCTACAGGTTCTTTACTTTCCCAAACGGTTTATGATAATGATTTCTGCTTGGAATTCTTTCATCTTCGAATACAATTCATTTTTCTCCTCGCCTTTGAATATACGCGATCTCTTCGGTTCCTGAGTTTTGGTTCATATGCCATTCTAATACTCTAATCCCTGTCTGAACTTGGTTTTGCAGCCACATTTGGTGCTTTTCACAGGCAGCTCTCTCTCCCTCTCTCTCTCTCTCTATATATATATATATATTGCTTGTGTTGTATCATGTCAGTTCACCCCGACCATCTTAGCGTTACTCAGGTGATTTCGGTGAGGAAAATGTCCCACTTGTGCAAAGTGTGAGCCTTCTTCCTTTTCCTAAAGCAGTTATATTGGGAAACCATGATGCCTGGTACACCCATGATTTATCAAGGTGTGTCCTCTCGTCCATCTAATCTTCCCAACATGTGGATACTGCCTCTATTGGCATCATTATTGGCTTACCTATCTGCGTTTAACCTTGTCAAGCTTTGTTGTCATTTCAGTTCTGAATTCCAGTCTTGGTCTCTAACCCTGGATGATTTGTCTATGTCACTTTCAGGCAACAAAATGGCGTCCAAATGCAGCTTGATGTGTGAGTTTTTCCACAATTTCCTCAGCTTTTACTCTCACTTTATCCTACCGTGATTGCTCCCATGCAGCAAAATTCGTTCTGGAAAAACAAATAGAAGCAGCATGGCTGTCTGCGTCTGACTAAAAAACATTTAAACTATTTTCTTTTCAACCATAATTGTCACTTCAATTGCTAATGCGAGGATCATGCCACTGGATTCCGGCTATTGTCGACGGTCTCCATAGGAGCCATCACTGCAGATTTCTTTGCTTTCTGCTTGCTCCTCTGGCTTTTGTTCACTTAGATGATATTGCAATGGTTGATCAAGTCTAACCCTCTTGCATTGTTCTTTCTGAACTCTCTCGTTTTTGGTGTATTGCAGACATGGATATTGAAAGTGTTCCTTTCATATGTTGTCTTTCATTCTGTGACAAACAGTCTCGGTGACGAGCATGTAGGATATAGACGCTTGGACTTCCCTTCATTAAAGCTCAGTATTGTTGGTGGCCGACCTTTTTCACATGGTGGAGATCAATTATTTCGGAAAAAGCTGCTTGTGCGCAGGTTAACGTTAGATTCCATCGTACAAAATGTATAATTCATGTACATGTATAATGCTTGTACGAAGCATAGATCAAAATAGATGTTTCGTCAGAGAGAAACCATTGTTCAACTAGCAGTTTAATGATTTCTGTACTTTTCATGCACTTTCAAATTTTTTTTACGTATGTGTGGAGATCTTTGTGAGCCTGCAATGCTAAAGGCTTATCGGTAGCAGTTCTCAATGAGCTGGTTTCAGGTTTTAGAAATTTATATTACTCGATTAATATCAGCAAATAATATGTGATCTGTTTCATGGAATTTTGATCTTCTGTCAGATATGGAGTTGTGGATATGGATTCTAGTGCTGGGAGAATTTGTAGTGCTGTACAGGGGACACCAGATGATCATTTGGTTGTAATTCTTGCACACAATGGGCCAACAGGTTGGGAGCTTTCTTATTGGTTTAGACTTAGGCCAGTGAGGTCAATTTTTTGTGGTATAAATGTGTTCTTTGCATTTTGCAGGCCTTGGTTCTCAAGCAGAGGATGTTTGTGGAAAAGACTGGGATGGTGAAGGTGGCGACCATGGAGATCCAGGTGGTTTCTGCTACTGTCCTCTCGATTTGGCATCACTAACATATTTCATGTTTTAGCTTCCTGAATGTGGTTGCGGTATCTGACCTTGTTTAATTAAATAAGAGGAAGTTATACCCACGGAAGACACCAAAGTGCAGGTTTAGGTGCTATAAGAGGCTTCTTCCAATGTTTCAGATCTGGAACAGGCGATATGCCAATTGAAGGAGACAACAAGTTTGCCAATTCCATTAGTTGTGTTTGGGCACATGCATAAGGTGCTGCAGTCAAGGAAGGGGAGCCGGAAAATGGTTGTGGAGGGGAGTGACAAGAAGACCTTATATCTGAACGGTGCAATAGTTCCAAGGGTTAAACGAACAAAAGTTGATGATCACTGTCATGACAGTCTGAGTGGTTTCATGAGAAATGAAAAATGGAAGGCCGCAGCAGAGTCAGAGGGTGAGAGCACAGCAAGGGCTTTCACTGTGGTGGAGATTTTAGATGGAATAGTCGAGAAAATAGCAGAAACTTGGGTGCACGTAGATGGAAGTAATGCCAGAATTGTGGAGGAGGAGACGTTGTACTTGTACAGGAATGTCGGTGGTTTTCAACCGGGGGCGTCTGTTTAAAGACCAGGTCGGTCATTCCCAGTGTAAAGTTGTGGTTGTGGATATCCTTTTGTTTTTCTGAATTAAGGCATGCCATATTTAGTCACATTAACTGGTTTTGGGACTGAATGATTGATTCGTTTCCTCCGCCATAGGTGTCTGTCTCTGCCGTGTCACAGGTAACCTCTGATTTGGGGTAGATGGAGGCTCTATCTTTTATTAGATAATGCTCTGTCAAGAGAATTGTCCAAGCGGCTAATCTCGCGTTGGAGTCCTCACTGTTTCTTTCTCCTTGGTACAATTTTTTTCACCGTTCCCTCAATTTGAGAATAAATCACTTGGAGCAATGCGCGGGGTGCGGTGAACCGTAAACTCCACGGAATACTGAGCAGAGGGGAGAGGCAAGCTTTTCCCTGGGCCTGAGATGACGCTCAGTGGGCCAGCATCGAAGAATCGGGCGACCCATATGCGAAGGGTCCCTCAATGGCTTTCCTTGTTCGCGAAGCTTTACTCCACATACCGCCAAATCTCAAGAGGGGCTGGAAGCTACCACAGAGGTGGCAAAAGTCGAGGGGCATAACCGACCTTTTGATCATGACACGTGTCATCTGTCCGCCCACAGAATCTCCCCCTTGCTTGTTTCTATAAAGACGAGAAAATGTTACACCTAGCCCTTATCCTCGGAAAACAGAAAACAAAAGGGAAAAAAAAAAGATGGGTGAGAAGGAGATGGAGGTGGTGAAGGGGCTGGACGTGGAGAGGTACATGGGGCGGTGGTACGAGATAGCATCGTTCCCGTCGAGGTTTCAGCCGAAGAACGGAGAGAACACGAGGGCTACATACAGCCTAAACCCGGACGGGACGGTGAACGTCCTCAATGAGACATGGAGCGACGGAAAGAGAGGATTCATCCAAGGGACAGCGTACAAGGCAGACCCAAAAAGCGAGGAGGCCAAACTCAAAGTGAGGTTTTATGTGCCACCGTTCCTACCCATAATCCCCATCACGGGAGACTACTGGGTACTGTACATAGACCCCGAGTACCAGCACGCCTTGATCGGACAGCCCTCCAGGCGTTATCTATGGATATTAAGCAGGAGGCCCCAAATGGAGGAGGAGACTTACAAGGAGATGGTGAGGCGGGCGGTGGAGGAGGGGTACGACGTCTCCAAGCTCCACAAGACCCCTCAGGCCGATCCTCCCCCGGAGCCCGACGTCTCTCCCACCGACTCCAAAGGCATCTGGTGGATCAAGTCCATCCTGGGCAAATAGACCCTCCTCTTTCATATATGTTGTTATGTCTTGTCTTTCTACTTGGAAAAGAAGCTTGTGTGGTGTGATATCGAAAAACAAAGCCCTGTGCCTTTGTGCTTCTCTAGTAATATGGACTTTCCTCTTCTTACATAAGAGCTTTGAAGAATTTACCATGTGTAAAAGAGGCGGTTTCCTCGGCAAGAGTTTTGTAGATCCGCGCATCCACAACGGAGAACAGTACAACACGAATTTGTTTTCTTCGATTGCTTGTACAACATCTGTTTCAATCAAACGCCCAAAACATCTCCTCATGTTAGGTATCGCCGAGATGCGCACACAGTTGGCTGGACATCATTACCTGTGATGCCATGCTCAAATCAGAACACTTCTCACCTCGGGCGAGCACTCTGTCAATAGTTTTTATGCTGCAACACGGGCAAAGCCTCGGTCAGATTATATGAGAAGATTCAAAGACCCTCTGTGTCTTTGGATAGAGATTAAAAGGTGGTGATTTCGGGAAAAGCTGAACTCGTTGGCAGCACAACGTATTAGACGGGAACACAGCGTTACTGGAACGGCTAGTATATACGAAAAGGACTTTGAGCAACAACTGGATTTAGCACTGACCAGGATATAGGGATGGAACTCCCAACGTGAAATCTCGTCCGTAGCCAGACTTGCTATCTTAGGCCTCACCTAACTCTCTTAGGTCCGATCCTCATCCTCTTACATAGAGGCATAGCCCTTGATCCTGGGCACGCACATGGATCCCATTAAGCGAGGCTAACTGCTCCGTTATCTTCTCCTTTCCTTACAGTTCAGAGTAAGACTCGGGTGCTCCAGATTTAGAGAAGATTAAGAAAAAGAAAGAAACTTCCTACATTCAGAGACTCCAAAAGTCAACAATCTATCTTAATCCAACAGTACCACGGGCATATGTAGAGGCAAAACAAATGGAAGAGTAAAAACCCATAAAGAACCTGAAAATTTGATAGAGCTTCGTTCAAGTATGGCCACGGCTGACTGCTGTCTTCTTTTGCTGGCCTCCATGTCTCGCCAAAATTCTTCTGCTCATCATCCAGACCCTGGGAAACAATCCACCAGATTCGTGAAAATAGAATAAATCAATAGGAGGGTGGCTGATGTGTTCGATAAGATACCCGACTGAGAAGGGAGAAGGCACTGCGAACGGGATATGATCGTTCATGAAACCCAAAGCCCAAATGCCGTTTCGACTGTAAGCGTGCATCTTGTAGTCTGTAAGCGTGCACCTTGTACGGTGCGGCCGACAAAGACGACGAACTCCTTGACGCTGCTTCGCTGGAAATAGCCAAAGTGAGAGACGTCGGAGGAGTTGACAAGGATCACCGGATCCGGTGTCCCTGGGGCGCACTTGAGAACCAGCAACGCCGTGATCTTCATCCGGTTCTGTCGCGACAATGACGAAGCCCATCGGCTTTGCTGTCTCTATCTCTCTCCAGTGTTGTGGTATAACAATAACAATAAAATCCGGGATGTCTACCGAGTAAACTAAAAATAGCACTAGGACAAAAAAAGTAAAGGAGTTTTATGAGGACAGAGATGTTGCGGAAGTTACTTCCCACCATTTAATCAATGACTTCTCTCACCAATTTAATCTCTCCATTACATTTCCCTGCCCTCAGCTTCAGTTTCTTTTTTTTCCTTTACCCCAAAAGAAAGAAAAAGAAACAAAGAATCCTCTCTCCGCAGGGCATGTTCTCAGTTTCTTCAAAGAGCCTTCTTCGTCCCTGTAACGTCTCTTCTTCATCTTCGCCTCTTTCTCATTGTCTTTCGTGAATGATGTGATGTTATCTTCTTCTGTTTGCAGGAGGATCAAGAGATGCTGCTGCTGAGGTTTCTATTTTTCTTTTCCCTCTTTATACACGCAACCATTGCGCAAAAGCCTCCTCTCCTCAAGAAATGGCTCACTCTTACAGGTATCTCTCCTTGACCACACACACATATATAATTGTAAAATGAGGCTACATAATTTGTTAGACCCTTAAATTCGTTCCCGTCACAAGATGTTTTATTTATTTGGAACCGACGCACCAATATCAAAATCTTTGGGACACCCACATTTTTTCATTCAGATCCTTCATCTACATATATGATTTCATTCCAGGACAAGAGCCGATCGTTGTTGCCAGAGGTGGCTTTTCGGGGATATTCCCGGAATCAAGCGCCTCCGCGAATGACATGGCTATTAGCACCAGCTCGCCGGGGATCACTCTGCTCTGCAATCTTCAGATGACAAAGGACGGCGTCGGCATTTGTTTGTCGGATGTTCGTCTAGACAACTCAACCACCATCTCCACACTCTTCCCAAAAGGCCAGAAGACGTACAAGGTCAACGGCCAAGACATCAAGGGCTGGTTTGCCCTTGACTACACTTCTGACACCATTTTCTCCAATGTCTCATGTAAATCTCCTTTTTTCTTCTTCTTTGGATTCAATTCATCTTCAAAATCACCTCATTTTTTTTTTTTACTTTTGCCATAGTGGTTCAGAACATTTTCTCTCGCCCAAGCATTTTCGATGGTCAAATGCCGATTTCTGCTGTAGAGGACGTTTTAGGGACCAAGCCTCCCAAGTTCTGGTTGAGCGTTCAGGTTTCCCTTCTCCTCCTTTCGTGGTATTTGAAGTCACCGATAATTTTTATTTATTAACCAACAAATATGCAGTATAACTCCTTCTACATGGAACACAAGCTGAGCGCTGCAGAATACCTGAAAAGCTTGCGATTACGCGGCATAGGTTTCGTGTCGTCTCCTGAGATTGGATTCTTGAAGAGCATCGGAATGGATGCAGCCAAGTCCAAAACGAAGCTGATATTTGAGTTGAGAGAGCCCGACATGATCGAGGCAACCACCAACACGACGTATAACGAGCTTCTCACAAACCTCGCAACCATCAAGCAGTTTGCATCGGGTATTCTTATCCCAAAAGGCTACATTTGGGCCCTCGATCCCAACAAGTACCTCAAGCCTTCGACGAATCTTGTCGCGGATGCCCACAAAGCTGGTCTAGAAGTCTACGCTTCTGGGTTTGCCAACGACATCCCCACGAGCTACAATTACAGCTACGACCCCTCTATTGAGTATCTACAATTTGTGGACAATGGCCAGTTCTGTGTTGATGGAGTCATCTCTGATTTTCCACCAACAGCCTCACAAGCCATATGTGAGAACACTTTGACATATTCTCTTGTCTCTTTCTGACATGCTTAGTTATAACTTAGGAAGCTAAAAAAAATCATTGTCGTGTAGCCTGCTTTGCTCATCAGAAGGGCCATCTTCCAAAGGCAGGTAAGCAAGCAAGGAAAAGAACTAGCTTATTCTGTAAATGTTCGATGATAATTAGTTGAAGCATATGGTGTGGTATGAGCAGGACATGCAATGATCATAACTCACAACGGAGCAAGCGGGGATTACCCAGGGTGCACTGATATGGCATACCAGAAAGCAGTAGAGGACGGAGCAGATATCATCGATTGTTCAGTTCAGATGTCGAAAGACGGAATGGCTTTCTGTCAGGACTCTGCAGACCTCATGCCCAGCACCACCGCCATCACCACATTCATGTCTCGTGCTTCCACGGTCCCTGAAATCCAGGCCACCAACGGCATTTTCTCCTTTGACCTCACCTGGGCCGAGATCATCTCCTTGAAGCGTAAGTTGACCTTCATTTTCTCGTCTATATCTTTTCTTTCTTGACGATTACTCAAGGGGATCCTGCTTTTCTTTACAGCTCAAATCGAAAGCCCTTTCTTGACTTCCACGGGCTTCCAGAGAAACCCTGCCAATAAGAACGTTGGAAATTTTATGACTCTCACTGACTTTCTTGAGTTTGCCAAAGCTAAGGCAGTCACCGGAGTTCTCATCAACATTCAGGCAAAGACTAAACCCTGAACTCATCAAATCCTAAACGGCTTTCAAACTTGATTGATGCGATTAACACCATTCTCATGACAGAACGCTGCTTATTTGGCATCAAAGAAAGGCATAGGAGTGGTAGATGTGGTAAAGTCAGCTCTGATCAATGCTACACTTGACAAGCAATCAACGCAAAAGGTGTTGATTCAGTCAGACGACAGTTCAGTGTTGACCAGCTTCCAGGGCATGCCATCATACAGTAGAGTGTTGAGCATCGATAAGGAGATCGGAGATGCGCCTAAACCATCTGTGGAAGAGATCAAGAAATATGCTGATGCAGTCAATCTCAAAAGAACTTCGCTTGTTTCAATCTCTCACAGCTTCACCACGGCAAAGACTAATGTGGTGGAGGAAATGCACAAAGGGAACATCTCAGTCTATGTCTCAGTGCTGAGGAACGAGTATATCTCCATAGCGTTTGACTACTTCTCTGACCCGACAGTGGAGCTTGCCACTTTCATAGCAGGAAACGGGGTTGACGGAGTCGTCACTGAGTTCCCAGCCACTGCTAGTAGATACTTGAGTAAGTGATCCCTCAAGGCGTTCTTAACAGCGTATTGAGAAAATTAATCTGACAAACTAGGGTTTGAAATTATCGGATAATGCAGGGACGCCATGCGCAGATTTGAACAAAGACCAACCATACGCCATATTACCAGCAGAGCCAGGGGCTCTACTTTCTGTGGCAGCCAAGGAAGCGCAGCCACCAGTGGGAGCCCTGAACCCGCCTCTGGAGGCCAAAGACGTGGTGGATCCTCCACTGCCTCCCGTTGCCAACGACTCTTCCTCCAATGCAACTGGAGTTCCTCCTTCCCTCGCCTTTTCCACCTCCGCTGATCTCTCCATCTCCCTCCTCGCCATATCGCTGCTCTCTTTGCTCTTTGCTGTTGTCTGATGATTGATGACCTCCCTTGTTTTATATGATATACTACGCACGTATACTTATATATCCCCATTGTGAAAGTGTGTGTTGGTAGGAATCTTTGGTTCAAGACCTTGCAATGCTCCCTTTCTGATTAAAATGTATGAATTCGCGGATCCATGTGTCTATGTCATCTCCATGAACCAACTAAACCCGTACAGAAACTCCTCTAATCCAAACTTGATGGGTTTTAGATCATCCCCATCCTACTCGTCAGTCCGGGTTAATTGGATTCGATTAATTTGGTTCGTATATTTCGGATTTAGAATATTTATATCCAATCAGGTATATTATTTTAATCGATTTGGTTCGGATTCGGTTTGGTTCAGATCGAATTCGGTTCGGATTTATCCAAATAAAATTTCGATAAAAAATTCAATAAATTATCTTATAAAAAATAACAAAAACAACATTTGTAGTATAATACATACCTCATTTTGTTATATACTATGGTTATAAATATATTAATTAATGATATATAGGTAGATAAATGGTTCAGTTAATTTGGATTCGGTTTATTCAGTTTATGGTTATTTCGGATTCGATTATTTCAAATTAAAAAATTACAACTAAACGGTTATTTAATTTTAATCAGTTCGATTTGGTTCGGGTATATATCGATCGGATTGGATCTGGTTATTTGGGATTCAGTTATTTTGTCCATGTTTACCTTTTACCAAGATAACAAGCGGGAAAAAAATTCAAAAAACTGATAGTGAAACAAGAGTTTAGTTTTAAGAGATTTGGACTAGAGTTTAGTGATTAATATAACTACTATACACGTTAGCACTTGTTAATTTTAACAATTCGTATAAACATTTGAAAAATTTTGATTCAAGCGTAGTTTTTTATCAAATTAAAAATACATGAAAATGTTATATTTTGTTAAATTCGCGTCGAAAAGGTCATTTTCTCAAAAAAAGAACGAATGAGCAGCAAGACTTGTTGACGCTCTGTTGGGAGAATGGACTTTTTCAGCCCTCTGATGGCGCCTCTTCCTCATGCTCCTTCCGCTCTCCTCAAGTTCTTCTTCTCCTCTGTGTTGCATCTTTTTTTTTAAGGCTGTTTGAATTTCTCTATGTGACTCTATATGCAGGCTCCAGTAGGTCTCTGCACCCCCCAACCAGCCTCAGACATTTCTCCTTCCTCCCTCTTTTTTGAAAATTATCCCATTGCCGTATAAAGAAAGCAATGGAGTGGACAAACACAATTGACAAGAGAAACATGGTACTGAACTTGCAGGCAGCCATGATAGGGAGTCAAGGGCAACAACAGCACAGCAACGCCCCAAACCTCCAGCAGAAACCAAGGGTTCGAGCCAGGAGAGGCCAAGCCACTGACCCTCACGGCCTCACAGCATTGCCGAACGTGTATCTCTTCTTCTTCTTTTCCTCTTCTTTTCCTCATTACTCTTCATCACCCTCTTCTTTGATCCAACAACCCTCCCAAAACGTCTTTTTGAGCAGCTGAGGGAGAGGATTGCAGAGAGGATGAAAGCTCTTCAGGAACTAGTTCCCAACGCCAACAAGGTCAAATCTTCTCTACTCTCTCTCTTTTAACCTCTTGTCCAAACAACTTACAACAAATTTGTTGGATAGTGAACAACAGACAGACAAGGCGCCAATGCTGGACGAGATCATCGATTATGTTAGGTTCCTCCAGCTACAAGTCAAGGTCTCTCTCTCTCTCAATGTTGTTTCATAGTATTTTTTGAACATTTTCCCCTAAAAGACGCCATGGTTATTCAAATAGGTGCTAAGCCTCAGCAGATTGAGAGGTGCTGCAGCAGCTGCTCCTCTGATGGTCGATATCTCCTCCCAGGTGAAACACATTGCTTCCTCTCAAGCTTTCTATCAATTCTGCGTAAGACAAAAGAAAACGAACCTCAAACAATTTGTTAACTTTGAGTTGCTTTGCGTTCTATAGAAGAGACTGATGTCAGAATTCGTGATTTTGCTGGATGATGACTGCAGCAAGGAGGGGAATGCCTCAAACACCAGTCTGGAGCTAGCATCAACAGAAACAAGAATGAAAGCCTGAAGACGGCAGAAAGGCGAGTGGCAAAGCTAATGGAGGAGGACATGGGATCAGCAATGCAATACCTTCAAGGAAAGGGCCTCTGCCTAATGCCCATCTCTCTCGCTGCAGCCATCTCCTCTCCCAGCTCTCTCTTCGCCTCCGCTTCTGCTGCTGAAGGTCCTTCCTCTCCTTCAAGTCTATATAAACCAACCCCACCTCCTGCAGCCTCTACCTCAAAGGAGGACAATGTATCAGTTTCCATGACCTGTTTCTTCTTCCTCATTCTGTCATCCCAAATCCATTTCTCTTTCCTTCTACACTAGGATTAATAAAAGGCATTTTAGATGTTTCATGCACAACATTATATTCCTCTCTTTTATCATTTGTAGTGGTCCTTTTGTGTTACTCCTGACGTATGAATGAGGGTTTTACGGGAGAAAGAATCACCTCACACTTTTGTCATGATACTCTCTTACTTCCAAGACTAAATCTAAGGACGCAGCTCTCCGCATTGTTATTAGACCAGGGTTAGGCTATGAATTGCAAATCCCATAAAGGAAAGGGTTCTGAGATTGACATTAATCCAAAGCAAGATGATATTCAACCGACTCCAATATCATCTTACAACTCTTCTCTACCTTTTCGGTACCAATACCTTTCATACCAACAATCATACCATCAGTCACCTGATAAGTGTCCCACATTGGAAAATGAGAGGGATTTGGACCAATATATAAGTAAGGGTCAAACCTCCACTCTTAAGCTAGCTTTTGTGGTGGAGTTAGGGCCTAAACCTTATTAATTTGTATCAGAGCCTAACTCTCTACTTTCCGGTGGGCCTTTGACAGGCCATTCTCCGGTGGACATGCGGTCGACTCGGTGGTTGTGGGACGGTCGGGTGAGGAACGGTCGGGGATGGACCGAGAAGCCGCCATCGACCGAGAAGCCGCCAGCGACCAGATTTGCCCCAGCGTCGTGGACGTCGCTATCTAATGGAGGCGGTATTAATAAGTGTCCCACAATGGAAAATGAGAGAGATTTGGACCAATATATAAGTAAGGGTCAAACCTCCACTCTTAAACTAGCTTTTGTAGTGGAGTTAGGGCCTAAACCTTATTATCACCCTGCATATTTTCTTTTTCTGTGAAACGATAAATTAAAACAACACCTACCAATAAAAAACCAAAGCCACAGACTGTTGTGCACACAAGAAACCGTGAAACATGCATCCCACTACATATAGGTCAACCACTTAGATACAAATGTTTTACCACTGGTGCATCTGCCTGGACAAATCTTAATATGATTCTCTCTATTTGATCCAAAGTTCGCTGAACTTTAAAAATACGAGAAAATTAGATTCAGATTTTAAAACTGATAAGAGCATCAAGGAAAAAAATAGATCCCAACTTATATGCGCTTAAGGACGGATTCAAACTATAGACTAAAAAATACATCTATTAAGTAAATATATACCGATTGATTTTCCTGGACTGGCTGGCAAATAATAAAGAAACAGGGCGCCCAAGATTAATATCACAAACTTCCAAGTCACAAACCCAAACAACCAAGATATCCAACTTATATGTACACATATAAGTTGCACATTGAAAGTTCTCGATAAACCAGCAGACCTCTAGATTCTAGAACAACAAGTTTGGCAAGGGCAATCGAATGGAAAGAGAAAAACAATCCTGGATTGGACTTCATTCTAGCATACGTTAAGGCTGAATTTTGCATGCACAAATACAAGTATAAAATTACAGGCAGAAAGATAATACTCATAAGTTTCAGGAACACTAAAGAACCAGGTCAGAACTCAGTGGATGCAACCACTAGATTAAGGACAAGATTCACTGATGACGATTTTTCTCCTCCTCGGAGGCCTAAGTGAAAGTCCTACACGCCTGCCAACGGAAAAAGAAAAACTAGCCCGATGAAGGTACAGTGTACATGATTCTTTTCTAAGAAACCTAATGCTTGATCATCAAATGCTAAAATTATGGGTCAGTCTCAGTCATTGCAGAGCCAAAACGGGCGTAGTTGGTGTGCGTGTGTGCGTCGATATATATATATAGAGAGAGAGAGAGAGGCTACATGTGCTCGAAACTTCAAAGTTCACAGAATGGAAACTGCACTGCTCAAGTTATTGCGTCTTTACACCATGAAACTTACATGTCCCAACCAAAAGCAACATCAACACAGAGAAGAAGAGAGTAAACTACGAAGGGGAAGGCGTGGGCTTGAAAGTATAAGGCTGAGGGAGTGACAACGGACCTTTCCTGGAGTCTCCATCGTCCAAAAGTCTTTGAACTCTCTTGTTCCGACAGTACTGCCTATCAAAATGCTTCACCTTCAAAGTCCCAAAGTAAAAGAAGATAGGTACTCATTGACAGAAAAATTCCCACTACCAACTTCACGTAACTTTAACTAAAGAATCGGGATAGGTAAGAGACAGATATACCCAGGAAGAGCCCCTGAACTCATCAAATCCTAAACGGCTTTCAAACTTGATGACCAACCGATCCAATCTCTGTGGGTTTTCTGTGGGATTCCTTCTCCACGCATGCGTAAAAAGCGTCTCTAGCCTGATTTTGAGCGAATTTCCCAAAATCAGGGACAAAGCAACACGCGTAAAATGACGAGAGAGAGAAAGACGAGAAACAAACCTTGTAGCAAGACTCTCTAGCTTTGAGAAGCACATCAGAATGAACCTGGTTAGGGTTCGCGGATGCGTAAGCCTCGAACGCCATGAAAGAACGAAGGCGGATGAAGCTCTATCGGCGAATTAATCGCCACTGGAAAATCGGTGCTAATATTTGGATTGAGAAGCACCAAAGGCCCTTACGAGTTAATATGAGAGGCCCAATATACTTTTAATACGTCATCTAAGCTCGACTTTTTTTTCGTTGTCAAGTAGGGTTTCTTCAATATCATCAGAGAAATTGAGATACTACGCCAACTGCCGGAGCTTGATTCGGAACCGAACCATTCCGGAAGGTATTTTTTCTGATCGGAATCCTCTAAAATTTCCGAATGTTATTAATTTTAGAAAAATTAAATTTCTCAAAACTGAACATAAATAAATCGAATTTTAAAAAAAATCTGTAAAACCGATTTTTTTAAAACAATCTAATTTTTTAATAAAACCAAAACGCAACCGAAACCGAACCGAACTAAATACAATATAATGGTCGATTGATACCTATTTTTTAAAATCGAAAGAACTGAATCGAACCGAATTATTCCTGATCCGAACCCGAACTGAATACCGAAACATCTACTCCTACTCTAAAGTCTAGACCTCAAACAATATTATAATATCCTCTAGAGTTTTGTACTGGTATAAAATGGTCAGTGTGACAGCTCAGAATACCGTAAGAGGACGGAGAGTGATTATCGGTGCGAGAAGTACATACAAGGAGCGACTCCTGACGAGCTTCTGGGTATGGATATAGGGATGAATCGAACGCACCGGAATGAGAGAGATCCGAGGTCTATGTAGGTATGAGACTACACAGTCTAAGATAACTTAAAAGGAATTAATTGAGCTACTCATAGAAACAAGATCCATCAATCTTTTCGGTTGTCCATTTCAAGAGAACTCCAAAGTTAAGCATGATGGCCTTAGAGTAGTCTTAGGATGGACGACCTACTGGAAAATACTTTTCGGGATATGTGCGAGTGAGGACAAAACACGCTAAAAGGTCTCGTGTTGGTGTGTGTGAGGACAACTCTATCATTCCATAGCGGCCTCAAGTCATTACAGTCAGGTCATGCTAAGCCGAACTGGGTTCGGGTTAAAATTTTTTGGGTCGGATTAATCCGATCCATTAAGATTTCGGATTTATATTTGAATATTTGAAGTAGAGCTTTCAGACTTTTTTAATAATAATAAAATAAATAAATTTTTATTCGCAACACAATTATAAAAAATAGGAAGAATTATCATAAAATCCTATATATTTTCAGAGTTTAATGATTAAATCCTATATTTTTCTAAATAAATAAATCCTTAACTAATTCTATTTGATCAGTAAATTATTCTATTTTTAAATTATTAGTCAATATATCTCTATTTGGCAAGTCTGATTTGTCAAATCATGCATACATTAAATTAATATACCACATCATTAACAATAAAATATTTAAAAATTAATAATAAATTAAAAAACTAATTAAAAATAATAAAAATAAAATAATTACAAATATAATACACATCTATATACATATATACATACATATATACAATATATATATATATATACACATATATATGTATATATTTCTATATATATATATATATATTTGCATGCACATACATATGTATGTATTTATATATAAGTATGTATGTATGTATATATATGTAAATATATTTATATGTAAATGTATATATATTAGTGTATATATATGTATATATATACACTAATATATACATACATATATATTATATATATATGTATATGTATATAGATGTGTATTATATTTTTAAATTATTTAATTTTTATTTTTTAATTTTTTTTATTTTTAATATTTTATTGTTAAGACGTTGCATATTAATTTTATAAGTGCATGTCTTGAAAGTGTGTTGATATGTTGTCATTGTTGTTATGAAATAGGGTACATTGATTAATAATTTAAAAATATGATAATTTATTGACCAAATAAAATTAATTTAGGGTTTATTTACTTAAAAAAAAAGTATAAGATTTAATCATTTACCTGGAAAAAGTATATGATTTTTATAATGATTCTCCCAAAAAGTAATATAATCTATATACCAAAAAAATTAAACAAAAATATTTACAATTAACAATGAAAGAAATTATTCAAAAACTATTTTTTTAAAGAAACCGATATTAATTTATAGTTATAGTCATTTTATGAATTCATTGATTTCACAGCCATTGTAGATTAGTCACAATAATCTAAATGACTTTTTAATCATTATCGCTCCAACGTTAACATATGTAACCTAAAGTTAGATTTTTCAATTTAATTTAGATTTAATTATTTTCATAATTCCTGAAATTTCGCTAATTAAATTCACACATAAAAAATAAAGCAAAATTTAATTTTTATCACATAAATTTAAAAATTAATAAAAAAAACATGCAATTGAGTAATTTTGAAATCTTCTAAGATGTTAATGGCTAAAATAATTGGAGTTGGTTGAATGTTTCAATTTAATTTATTTTTTCAATCATCATGAATCAAAATTAGGAATATGTTTTGAGAAATTTATTATTAAATATTTTTTTTCAATATATATTATCCTTAAATTCAACATATATCCTAACTATTTGAAAAAGTTGAACCCTCAAAGAGTTGAAACGGAAAAAATATTTAGTTGTATTCACTTGAGAAAAACGTTAAGTACTCATTTTTTATTAGAGTTATGCAACACCCAGATGAAACTCTCTCTGAATTTTAACTCACTCTCACAATGAATTCTACCGATCAAAAACCTTACCGACCCCAAACCTTCACAAATGAATAAGGATTTTTCTATTAGTTGTCCTTCTCAAATCCATGCACAAACACTCACCAAAGGCTAAGAAATTTTCTCAATAGGTCTCAACTTCAGACGCACACTCACTCAAACAACGAATGCTCACTCACAACAAAACTCTATAAAGTAAAATATATTCTCTCGGTAAGAGTTGATATGCAGCTTGTATCCCTTATATAGGCTCTTCTTTTTTGTCCTAAATCCCTACCAATTGATATGATAAACTCCTCCTTGATTCGCTCTGATTTCGTCTCTATCTCCAAGATCTTGTCTCTATATCAAACTCTTCAAGTCTTTGATTTTATGTCCAACTCTTTAAGTTCATCTCACACCTTCTCGAACTCTATCTCTTCAGATTGCTCTCCTAAAATCTCTCAAATTTGTTGATATTGATTTCATCTCAATCTCGTAGAATTTCATTTCCTTGTCTTTATCTCTTCAGATTTGATTCCTAAATTTTCTCCAAGTAGTTGAACCTAAAACAAACACTTAACAACCAAATTCCATGTGGGCAAATAATTGCACTAATACTATTAATAAAAAAAATGAGCTTTTCAAATCAAATGAATTAATTAATTTAATTTTTAAATGGTGAAAGAAGAAATAGAATTTTGTAGTATTCAATTTTTCTTTGTTCTAGTTCTATAAATCATGATGGGATTGGGAAAAGATGACAAAATCGGCGATGGAACTCTCCTAACCTCGAGTTGTTGTTCTTCTTCGGGTTTTCTTACTCGGTTTTTTTCTGGCGAGCCTCGGAATTGTCGAAGTCGTTGGAGCTTGTCGACATTACAAGCCGCCAGACCGAGATGTAGGATCGTTTGGTCTTAACTCGTAAAAATCTTGCTATATTCTTTCATTTTCGGTTTATATTGTAGAGAGATTCTAATTAGTGTTGAATCGTAATGAGTTCGGAGATAACTGAAGAGACGGTTATTTACAATTGGGATCAGAAACTGATTTCCAGAATCAAGATCTATCGACGTTTCTGGAGAGAAGAAACAGAGACAACAACTAGTTGAGCGACAAGAAAAATAAAGAGAGGAACTAAAATATTATAAAGTTTTCATGACATGTATGTATGGGTAGGTGCATGTGTGTTTTAGAGGGGTAGTTTGAAAAAGCTGAAATCCGGTATGTTCCTCCGTTTGTCTCCATCCATCAAAATGTTAGTGCACACTCCTTATGCCACGGAGGGTAAAAGAAGATGGGGGCAACAAACAAATCGTTTCATATTATTATCATCCGCATTTTTACACATTTGTTTCTAAAATTTGTTTTGCTTTCATCCGTTAGGAGATAGCCTCTGCCATGACAAACCCACGAGCCATTGCCGTTGTCTGTAATAAAATTCTGCAACACTCTTTTTTGCCCTACCGTTATGGCTCCCAAACTCCCGATCCTTCATCTTTTGCCACTTAGAGTTCGACTGGTTGTACCGCAGCGGTTATGGCTGCGGATGACAGCGTTTTCAAAACGTTTGATAGCGATTATAAATAATTAGTACTGACTGGTTGAGAAGTTGCTGTTGGTAGCGATTGCAGGTGAGTGCAGTTAGAAGTGAATGGTTCATTACGGTTGCGATTGCGTTTTGATATAAATTGTCAAAAAAAATATTATTTAAAAATAATTTTTTATAATAGTTTAAATTAAAATTTTCGTATCATTTGATAAAAATTATTTACTAAATTTATAATAATTAAATAATAAATTTAAAATATAAATATTATCAATTTAATTTATTTTCAAGTAAAAAAATAATTTTATTATAAAAATTATTAAAAATAATCATTATTAAACCTAAAAATTATACTATTGTATTTTTTTTTATATTGGTTGCGGTTCAACCACTCAGTTTTTCAATCGCCCGCAACCGCCGAAAATCGCAACCGCTCCGTTTGCGGGTGGCGGCGGTGCAACCAGTCAGCCCTTTAAAAGAGTAAAACCAAAAGTGAAATATTCGGAACTGACACAGTAACATTTTATTGCGGAAGCAACGTCTCTTCATTTTCCCTGGCTACTTGCAAAGTTAACTTAGTTGCTGTGAACCTAAGTTAGTACATGTGTTCCCCTGTTTTGTTGCAACTTTCCCTTTCACCAATCCATTAGCCACTGTCCCATCCGCAACACACTGATCCAAACAAAGTCGAGCTAGCTTCCAATCACAACAAAGAAGGCCCAAGTTCCGCCTTACCCAATGCAGTTACAGAGAGGGTTACCTTGTCCTCTCTCTTCTGTTCTGACAGTATCCTTTTTTCTGTTTTGCTTGCCTGTCGTTGCCATTTGCTCTCCTATCCAACAATCCGCCACAGACAGTTCATCCCTGTGCTGCGGAATGCATCGACTTTCTAGATTCCTTATCCAACTGTGCTGTTTTTGATTTTTCATTCTCAGCAGCCTTCTTGGCTTCTGCTTCAAGCTGTTTGCAGTTCTCTTCGTGGGCACGATTGAAGAGTCTCACAAAGTTTAGCAGAGTCGAAACAACTGGAAAAGCGATTGTCAGTGACAAGATGTATTAGAAGTCCTTTTCAGAAAGCTATCCACATTCAAATTCAGGACTTTAAGTATCGTGCGGGAGAGATGATCAGGAATAATACCTTGTTCAAAAGGGCATTTAGCTGGATCTTCACCGAAATATAGGATCAAGGCATCCACGTTCCTGCCCTGTGGTGAAATGTTTCTTTTAATGTTCAGATCAAGATAAGAGCACACGCAGGCAACATTACATGAGTGTTAGGGAACATACCACCCCAGAATACAGTGAAGCCAAGGATCGTACTTCGGCTTCAGCAAAATGAAGGAACTCCTTCACGGTCTGCGAAATATATCATAGGAATAGATGAATACCACATCGAAACTGAAGGAGAAGAATTTCTTAATCACCAAACTGCCCATGCAACCATAATGTCGCCTCAACAGTTTACTATCACCTGAAACAGTTATCGTCAACTCTTAGGTCCAATTGTTCGTTGAATTTTCCTTTTTATTTGGAGGTGACTTGGTCGTACTATCAGACAAAAACAGGACACATCCGCACTCGAAGTAAATAGTGATTGATTTGCTCAGGTATACCTGGTGGAAGTTATGCGAGATTGGGCCATCATTTTCAGACAAGGAAAGTTCCTGTACTACTTTCTCCAGACCTTTGTTTATAGCTTGCATTTCCTCAGCCAAAAATTTCAGTTGAATCTGCATCCAAACTCAAGACAATAATCACCAAATTCCAATCTTTGAATTGATTTTCCCAAAATCTGCTGAGGAAACGGCTAAACGAGGAACCTTTGTGACCATAAAGAAAAACAAGGTACCTTTGTTGCAGGCTCCAGCGAAGCCAGATCTTTTGCAAAATCTAAGACCTCTGGGAGTTTCTCAGCGAGAACCTATAAGAAATCCGTCAGATTATGACAACAGAGTAGCATGAGAGCTTTTCTCTATTTCCCAGCCAAAAGCACATCCACAGATAATGCAATAATCCTCATAAAGATCTTAGAAGAGCAGACTTTAACTTTCTTTTCTTTTTTACCTTGCAGAGGTAATGCATCAGTGTCATGCGGTTATTTCGAGCACGTGTCTCACTGAGTTTAGGAAGACTATCCAGTCTAAATCCGATCGCGGCACCTATACAAAATGAAAAGGATAACAGGTAAGAAGAAAAGAGAGGGTGAGAGAGGGAGAGAGAGAAGAGCAACTTTAAACTCACCCCTAGCAGTCCCCTGGTTTAGAGCGTTACCGAGAGACAGAATCGTCTGCATTATACTTTTGAATTTGACAGAGTTCTTGATCTGATGAAAAGAAAGATTTAAATTATAAAGAGATGATTTAAGCACAAGTTGGCAGGTCCACCTAAACCAGGTATTGGAGTCTGAATTACCTGTTCAGCTGCCGAGTTTACAATACTCAGGCTATTTTTGAGTTCAGAAACCTACAAAAGTGGTTCACAGATACAATAAGTACCAAACTGGAAACTCTAGGCAATCAGAATCGTCATGTACTTCCCTTTACAGACCTGAGAACTGAACTGTATCTTGAATGAAAAAACTCTGAGCTTTGTTTCTACTCGTGGAACTGTCATCATCTCTAAGAAGAACTGTACAAGAGAAGGTTCAGGGAGCAGCGAGGAGTTAGGGTTTGATGGATGCTCCATGAATACTAAAACATTTCCAAGTTTTCCTACCAGTTCACACTTTCCAAGCTTGTCCTTATCACCGGTATAACCCTGGTCATGGAATACATGCGTAGACAAGGAGAATATTATTTGATAGAACAGACAAAATGATGAACTAAGAACACCCATAATTTTTTAAGAAATGATGGCTTAGGAGATCAATGCAGCAAAACAAATCCCCAAAATGCACTTGTACCTTTAGTTGTTCCATTTCTTCTTTTGTTGGACAAAACTTAATTAGGTTTTCCACCTGATCAGCATCAAGTGCTGATTCCTTCAAGTTAAGCACCGAGCTCTGTCATTATGTTGAGAGAGAATGAGAAAACTTTCACGTGCAGAGCTTAGAGAAACCTGAACATTTAACCAGATAAAGTGCTAGGATTCCATTTCGACTAACACACAGAACCTATAAAGCTTGAGGGTTACCATCAAGTCCTGCAAAGGAACTTTGACTTTCGAAAGCATAATCTCACAGTTGTACGCTCGCCTGTGCTCAATCTGCAGGTGAGAGTTGCAGCTTAAAATTTAGCTGTCAAACCCGAGCTCAAATAGTCCCATTGTGACAAAAGGAACAGATTTACATAAGGCAGGCACAAAATGACACAGTAACCAACTAACTACTGAGAGCCGCTTAAATTACCAGTTGGACTTTCTCAGATTTGGGTCCACGAGAGCTATTAAGTCTTGACTTGCCACCTTGCTCTGTGTTTGGAGCAGATGCCGAGAAAAGAGATTCAAGCTCCGTCATGTCAATCTCAGGAGCCCTATGTTGACAGTAAGAAATCAACGGATTGTAATCACAAATGATGCAATAGGCCAGATCAGAGTCATCAAATAAATAAGTCAAAACCAGACGAAAAGTACATACTTGGAAACTTCACCAGACTTTTGTGTTTCAGCCCATAAGCTCCCTTGGACGGCTCTCGTCAGTTTCAACCAATGCAATGGCTTCAGCTTTTTGGTCTGATGACTCTTCGAGTTAACAGATCGCAACATCCTTCCTTTTCCCGATGAAAGAGACCCAGATGGTGGCACAGGTGTCGGAGGACCACTTGTACCAGCGGACGGAGAAGAATTGGCACCCATCTTAGGAGGAGGAGGGGGTACTGATGGAGCTTTATTTTGACATGACAGTGAGATAGGAGTGGGTGGTGGAGGAGGTGGCTTGGGCGACAAACTTACACTTGGGCTTGGGCTTCGGGTAGGAGGTGGTGGTGGTGTAGGAGGCGCAACTTTAGTAACTGCTTTCCCGGTTAGATGTGGCATAGGAGGAGACGCAGGGGCAGGTGCCGATGGGGGTGGTGGAGGTCTTCCTGGTGGCGTAGGGGGTGCAAATCCCAGAACAGAGTTCTCGCCTGAATATGGTATTGGAGGAGCATGAGGAGTTGGAGAAAAGGGTGGTGGTGGTGGGGGGGCAGGTTTTCCTAGACCTGAAGCCACATCACTGGAGGCTTCCTTGTGATATGAAGTTGCAGGAGAAGTAGAAACTTGCAAGTCATTTGGCAAAAAATTGGTAGAAGAAACTGATGCTGGTGGAGGATGCAGAACTGTTGATGAATCGGTTGTATTTGAAGCTTTCTGAGAACAAGTAGGAGGTCTCTCAGATGGCGAAAGGATAATGGGAATCACAACTGATGGCTCTATCTGTTTGAGTGAAAGGTCAGATAGTACTGCTGAA